ATAATAATAATATTTATTATAAAATTAGAATAGAAAATAATGAAAACCCAATTGTAAGTGAAAATTTTCTTTTGTAATCCAAACGTTTAACTGTAGAGGTCGTCTTCAGCGTCGTCTTGGAAGTTACCTTGATCACCCGCGGTAACTCCGGGAACAGGAGCGCCTCCGCCGGCGGTAGGGAAACGAAAATTGGTTCCAAACCCTCGAGACTGCTGTAATGTTTGCGCAAACATTTCATATTTTCTAATATCGTTGTCTGACACTGATCTTCTAGCAAAACGCATAGCTTCTTCAAAATGAGCTCGAGTTATTTCAGGAACCGGGTCTTCCTCATCCAACTATTGTAAAAGAAATATTAAGTTTGTCAAATTAAATATCTAAACAGGTCACTTACGTCCATTGCGACGTTTGGATTGGCGGCCCGTTCACGTTCACGTCTTATCTCCGCTTCTATACTCTGCCGAATGGCCAATTTACAGGCACGTTGGCAAATTTCTGTTAAATCGGCACCAGAAAATCCATGTGTGACTTTCGCAATGTAAGTCATATCCACGTCCTTGGCCACAGGCGATTTGCGCAAATTAGCCCTGAAAATAGCCTCACGGGACTTCTCGTCTGGTAATGGGATGTAAATCAGCTGATCTAAACGGCCTGGACGTAATATAGCTGGATCGATGATATCTGAATAAAAATAAAATACATTAATCATATTTTTAAAATAAGTTATAATTTCTTACCAGGCCTGTTTGTAGCCCCAATAATGAAAACGTTCTTCTTAGCTCCCATACCGTCCATTTCAGTAAGAATTTGATTGATAACGCGATCCGCTGCACCTCCAGCATCTCCCACGTTACCCCCACGAGACTTTGCAATAGAATCCAACTCGTCAAAGAATAGGACACATGGCGAAGCAGATCTAGCCTAATAAAAAGTTAAATTATATATTTTATTTTCAAAAAGAAAAATGTAATAATCAAATAATAAATACCTTATCGAAAATATCTCGCACATTAGCTTCAGATTCACCAAACCACATGGTCAATAATTCAGGTCCCTTGACCGATATAAAATTAGCTTGACATTCATTGGCGATTGCTTTGGCGAGAAGAGTCTTACCACAACCTGGAGGTCCATAGAAGAGTACCCCTCGTGACGGTTGCATACCAAATTTGAGGAATTTATCTGGATGTTCAACAGGATATTGAACAAGTTCTTGCAACTCTTTCTTGACATTCTCCAAACCCCCGATATCATCCCAGGTAACATTAGGTACTTCGACCACCGTTTCACGTAGAGCACTTGGACTGCTCTTAGTCATTGCATAACGGAAATTTTCCATAGTTACAGCAAGTGAATTTAAGACTTCGGCGTCAATTTGATCGTCTTCCAAATCTATCAGATCCATTTTTTCACGAATCTGTTGTAGGGCAGCTTCAGAACAGAGGGAAGCAAGATCGGCACCGACGTGACCGTGGGTCTCTGCAGCTATCTGTTCCAAATCTACGTCGTCTGCGAGTTTCATATTTTTCGTGTGAATGCGAAGGATTTCGAGTCGACCAGTTGCATCTGGAATGCCGATGTCAATCTCGCGATCAAACCGCCCGAAACGACGTAAAGCTGCATCAATGGAGTTGGGCCTGTTGGTTGCGGCCATGACGATAACATGTGAACTCTTTTTCATGCCGTCCATAAGAGTCAATAATTGGGATACAATTCGGCGTTCAACTTCTCCATGCGTTTTTTCACGTTTGGGAGCGATCGCGTCCAATTCATCGATAAAGATGATAGCGGGAGAATTCTTGTCAGCTTCCTCAAACGCTTTTCGCAGATTACTTTCAGATTCACCGGCCAGCTTGCTCATTATTTCAGGACCATTGATAAGAAAGAAGAATGCGCCGGTTTCATTAGCAACGGCACGGGCTATCAATGTTTTACCAGTACCTGGGGGTCCATACAGCAAAATTCCACGAGGAGGTTTAACACCAATTGCTTTAAACAAAGACGGATGACGTAGAGGTAGTTCAACCATTTCCTTGATTTGGGCCAGCTGCTTCCTGCAACCACCAATGTCGTCGTATCCAACGGCATTAAGAACCTCTTCTTCTTCCTATTTTATAAAATTAATAACAAATACTATTGTATAAATTTATTCAAACCAAATGTTGGTTATTTAATTTACCTCACGTTTGATGGGATCTCCATCACAATGTATTACAGTATCTGGTGCAACAATACAATATGGGGAAGGATCTGTTTCAACAACTTTAAATTCAACTGCTCTCATTCCCCCACGTACAACAAACACATCCTCTTTGTGAATTGGTCTGTATGCTTCCAAAAAGTAAGGTTTCAAGTAAACTTCAAATAGATTCCTGAAACAGAGAAATTAATTTATGAAAATAAATTTATTTGATTAAGGATTTTTAAACTATATTGTATTACTACTACAAGTACAATTCTTACCCAGTTAATCCTTCTACAGTGTCATCGATGGGAAGCACATGTATTCTTTTCCCATATTTAACATCAGGACATGGTTGAATTGAAACAACATCAGAGAGACGAACACGTAAATTGTTTCTAACTATACGATTCATTCTGATCTTTTCATCTGGGCAAGTTTCATCAGACAATACAATGCAAACAGTTTCTTTTCGTCGCTTTCCTTTTAAAAGTACTGTGTCGCCTCTAAAAAGTTGCAATTCATCCATTTTTGATTGCGAAAGGGCAACGACTGAATTATCATCATTCACTGCTTCTTCTACTAAAAGCCTATTTGGACGATCCTTGCGACGTAAAATTGCAGTTGCTAAATCATCGGGACTGAAAAAGTAATTTTACTTTACAACTGATTGAGATTTCTGCCAACCGATTTTTTTTTAGAAAATTATACCAAGCGGACTGTGATAATCGTCCATGACAAAATTAAAAAGAATAAAATATACGCATACAGATACGATTATGATCAGAATTAAGCAGGATCGACATACCTTTTTCCTTCCGCCATTTCAAATGTGTAGTTTTTTCTAGTGCTTTTTAAAAATTATTCAATAAAATTCGATAATTAACAAAACTTCACACACTACAATTACTATATGGACCGACTTTCGACTCTGAAGATCTGAACAATGACGGTGCCAAATCACAAACCGCTTGCAAGAAAAATGACACTTTTAACCCGTTTGACGCCCCTCTTATAAAATTCTATGATCTAGTGGCTGTGGCAAAGCTACACAGCTACACAATCTAATATTTTGAATACGAGAAAAGGGCGCCCAATAATCTAGATAATCAGAATCAGTTTATAAAAAGCGGAAAAATAACAGTTATCGTAGAGATTAAACGAGAACAAGTATTTTTCTTTTTTGCTTTACTTACTTACATTGAACTGACATGAAATTAATGCAAAAACTAGAATAATGATGAAAAAAAGTGGTCAAGGCTTCTTTGATTTTGTGGAAAAGGGAAAATAGTTTAAGGACAACCATTCATACGGCTAAGTTGGGTTGTATTTCCTGCAAGCAGGACTTACTATCTTAAAACCCTTCTACCTCCACCTGTTTTAGGGCCTGTTGATCTCGTTGAGGCTTGTACCTCGTTCGGTTTAAAGGGATTGTTAAAACCACGAAGACTTTGTTAACACTTTAGTTGTTTACATCTATACCGATAGGGGTGAAAACGTGAGAGGCATGGGAAGTAAAGGTGAAAATAGGACATAATGATTATGTAGACAACGCGATCTTCGGTTGACAGAGTGAAGAGGAGCTGAAGCTGGTAATGATGACTTTATAGAAAACTAAAATAAAGTTTTTAGGGGGGGGACTCCTAAACCAATCAGCAGTCAACAATTTTGACTTAGCATTAATGTAACATTAAAATTATATGTAAAAGTCTGTGATTATTGTAGTTCAATCTTCCTTTAAATATTAAATTAACTCAGTTTCATTGTTTTACCCTTTTTCATTTAGCAACTGATTTTATAAATTCTTGATTTATTTATTCATTTAAACTAGTATTGTTAGGAGTAATTCATAAGATTCACTAATATAATTTTAATAACCAACAAAAATAATGCTTTTTAATTATTAATTATCTTACGATCTAAAAATTGACAACTCTAGTGACTGTAGGTGTGCATTTAGCCACAATAATCAACTTTCTTTGATTGTTACATATCAATTTTCTATGGTTATATCTTTCTCTATGGTTACAAGTTACAAGATAGTGTTACAAGTGTCAGCTGAAATTTAATTAATAAAATTTCTCATGTACTAAATTTATTTTTTTCTCAAACAGAAATTTTGAGTGATGGTTTTAAAGTATATATGTTTCATATTTAAAATTGTCGTGTACGTTGTCTTAGAATAAAACAATAAAAGTGCATTCGGCATTTTAGAAATGGCAGGAATTAAAGGTAATGTTAGTCATCCTATTGCTTACAAATAAATATTATTTTTTGTCGGACTAATAAAGTAAATGTGTTATTTGTTGAATGTAATTTATAATGTTATTATTTTTCCTTTTGTTTTTCTTTTTCATAACATTTTGGAACTGGATTATTATGAAAAGGGTGAGTCAATTTATTATTAAACAATACAATATATTTTTATTAATTATGGTTCATTTTCAGACTGGTATGTTTAGCGTTTGCTGGATCTATAGGAATGACATTTGTTATACTGGCCTGTGCTTTGCCCCAATATAAGTAGGTTTAAATTTTATTCTATTTTGAGTATCTAAACTTCAACTTTTTAGGATATGGTGGCCATTTTTTGCAGTCCTTTTCTACATACTATCACCTATACCTACGCTGATAGCGAGGCGTTACAACGAAAATCAAGGATCCAGTAATGGTTGTATGGAAACTGCAATATTTATTACTATGGGTTTAGTCGTTAGTTCATTTGCACTACCTATTGTGCTAGCTAGGGTGACTACAATTCAGTGGGGTGCATGCTATTTGACTTTAGCAGGAAATGTTGTGGTATATTTTACTTTGATAAGTTTCTTCCTTACTTTTGATCAAGAAGATGCTGATTATAATATGTGGTAGAATTTTTTTTAATAACGAACCAAAACTAAGAACTGGAGTGAAAGTTGTATGATGTGTAATAAGTATAGATATACTAGTGTATCTTTCAAATTATTAAGTTTATTTTCAATTTAATGTTTCTTGTTTTGTTTTTTAGTTGGTATCATTTAAGAGCTAAGAATCTAATACCTGTTACAATACATAAATGATATATTTTTTTCAGTTGCACTTTCGGTACTTAAAGTACTTATACTTTTTGAATTTTATGAAAAGCTATATTATGTGTAAATATTTATAATTTTTCTAAAACAATGTGTAATTTATTATGTTGTAGTTTTATACATATATTCCTTAATTAAATGTGTTATAATAAAAATAACATTATAAAAATACAATAAATGCACATCTGACTACAGTTTTTTTTTGTCACTGCTTTTTTAAAGCCCCTCGTCACTTTTTCTAAAACTACAAATATTTTTTAAGATTTCTATACATATATTGAAACTGTACTCAACGAATAAGGATTACATATATATATTTATAATTAGATAATTTCGAATAAAAAGCAGTTTTGAACATTTGAAGAGGTTGTTTTCAAAATATTAAGAACACTTATTGTAACAAAATCCTAATTTAAAAGTATATGTTACTAAAAATCAAGCTTTTTACTCCTCTAAAAGCGTTTTACTTTAATTTATGGAGCAGAAAGTAATAAAAACCCACATTAAATCCAAGATTTAGTAAACTCAAACACAGCTGGTGAGCATTTGACGATAAAATGGCATCAAATGGACGATTCGTTGATAAAGCAAAAATTACAGACGGGATAATTATAAAACTTCTCTTAAAAAAGTGTAGCTCAAAGATAACAAACGTATCTTTTAATTTAAAAAAATATTGTAAGTTTGGATGCATTTTATTTTTTTTTTAACGTATTGAAATAATCTAAAAGCTATTTATTTTGAAGTTACGGATAGGTCATTCTTTTGGTGCAGTGAGAGTAAAATTTTAGCATGCAACGGAAGTAGTTTACAGCTTGCGGAGGAAGTTGCGTCATGCGGTGGAATTCGCGCTTTGAATCATTTTCAAATGTAACATGTTGCTCTTCTCGGTTTTAGTTGCCTTGCCATAGTGCCTGAAACTTCCGGAAAGGCTAGGCGACTTTGTACATTGTGAAACAACCACGGCTAGTAATGGTCTTTTTCAAAACATAATACAAAGATCACTCCTAGACGTGGTCATTTTATACTACTCTTCAGACGACCACGACTAACAGTGATCGATTTTGAACGATCACGGTTGGGAAAAATGGCGACAGAGAAAAGTGTAATTTCTATATTTGGTGAACGTTTCGCCTTACTTGCAGCGGCGTTTCTGACACCCGGGGCGAAGCCTAAATTTGACGCCCTTCCTATTCAGGTATTGCGTAAACACCGAAGGAGGATGGTTTATTTTTCATGATATGGGGCCGGGGGGTGATTACGTTAGTAATATTTACTTATTTATTTTCTAATTTTTCTGTAAAATTTAGTAGATTCTGATTTGAAGAAATATGACAACCCTACTTGTCTATGTCCGAAAGCAATAAGAATGTTCGGGGATTCCCCAAAGTAATTGTTAATGCTCCCTCGCTCTCACGCGGAGTTTTATGGTTAAGTTAAAAAGATTTTGAGAAAATATGCAGGTATCAATGTTTACGTAAGCATAAGGGGAAAAACCTTTGCTTACTTTTGTTGACAAGAGGGTTAAAAATTACTAAAATTCAGTTTAGGTGATAGCTGAATGGCCTCTAAATGTCAAGTCGTTTGTGTGTTAAAGAAATTTTGTGCTTTTTCCATATGATACAGGATTTGTAAATTACAACAAAATAATTAATTTCAATTGAAAATGTATTAACTTAAGAGTAACAAAAGTAAAATTAAGCATGTGCATTTACAAAGTTCTCACATAATTTACTTCATTTACAAACATAATTCAGAATTTCCGATCGTTAGCATTTTATTGTCGCTAAGAGCATAAGTATTCTTTTCATACTTTTGCAATGTTTTAAAGTTTCAATCTCTGCATCATTAACTGATAACATTTATGGGATATTTTATTATGGAGTGTTAAGGTACGTACAGTCCGTTCAATAGTTTTATCCCACGATAGTAGCTATTTTATTGTACATAACACAGGAATCTCGAGACTGTACTTTTAAAAAAGTGACAAATTTTAACGTGTTTTGTGTCTTGTTTATAATACATAGGCGAAATTTATAGTCCACCAGACGATTCGGGTTTTTCTTTTTGGTATATTTTTCTACTACCGTTATGGTTACGATTTGACCATTCGACTTTCAGCTTTTGCTACATTGGCTATGAAAAAAATGCCTGTTTTACATTTAGATACAGGACAGATACTTTTTACAGATTTTTAACAACACAAAAGTCGTGGAATTTGGAAGAACCAAGACGGTAATATCTTGCTATACTTCATTTACTTTCTCTAGCGACGTGCCCCTTCCAATGTCGTGGATGCGCGCTGGCAAAATCGTAGGTAGGGAGAAAAAAGCTCATTATACTCTCGACTTTTGTTCATTAAACATACTTTTTCATACAGTACCTACCAATAGTTTTGTTTAATCATGATGTTACTGCGAGTCGAAAACAAGCGTTAAAGCCTTTAATATGTCTTCAAATATAAATAAACATCTCGTTGATATTTTCAACGCAATTTTAGTGGATAAAATGGTTAATTTTTCTGTGCAATACTGTACAGATTTTCTGGCCTAGTGCTGTTCTTTTCTACTTTGCGCCGGTCAAACAAAAGGTCACATCGCTAGAGAAATTAAACGAAGTATACATGGTAGGAATCGTTAAAAACTGATACAAATTCCAAAAAAAAATGATATCTAATGCTATTTATATAACAACATTTTTGACCCCCTTTTGCCCCTTCCCCCACGCTACGCCACTGCTTACCAGTAGAAGTTTAAGTACACACTTGTTTTTTCTTTTATTTAAGGCGAAATGCTCTTCGAATCAAGTATTAGTTCGTAACAAGTAAAAACAGATGAAAAAGTAATAGATTATAATAATTAATTTATAGTAGCTAGAATAGTAACAATTAGATAAATTATTGCGCTGATATTTAGATAGACAGTTAATTTTTTTTTATTATCAACTTGAATTAAAAATAAAAATAGAAACATGCGCTGCATGAACGTAATAATAATTACTGTTTAATGAGTACATTCGTGAAGAGGGTTTATAAGTACCTTTCGTACGAGTCACTTAAAATGTCAGTTAAAATGAAGATGTTAAGCTGTCGGATAATCAATAATGTCACTAGCGATACCACACTTTGGTTGGACAATTACCGAACAGTTTCGTAAACTGAAAGCATAATCGACAATTTCCTGATTTTTCTATCGTTGCTATATATGCCCACACACAGAAAAACGTTTTACATCCACGTCGTCATTAATCTAATTACATACAATTAGTACATTGGACGGGGTAATGAACACATTGTTCTCTAGTTTTTGATTGATCATTTTCAATGGGTTTTTAGGATTGTACCAACTTTTAATTTGATTTTATTCGTGTAATGCCTTTGCATTTTAATTAGTAATAATTATTAAGGACATTTTTGTTAAGCTCCACCTTTAATTTATTGTTTGTTAGACCCATGATTCAATTGCCAAGTATTGTACAATAATTCTGATCTATTACATGAAAATTTTACGTCTTTAGTAGTCCAATCTTTAGGATTAGATTTGACATTGTTTATTTCTATTCTACGAATTTGGTTTACTTTTATTAACGCAGTTTTTTTAAACATCATCCACAATTTTAACTTTTTTTTAAGTGGATATTGGTCATTGAACAGATTATTCAATTTGGAAACCTTTGCATTAATACAGCCAGATTTGACGAAAACATATCGATGCCAGAACCCTTGCTACAATCCTTGTTAGCTTACTGGACCAGTAATTGCTTGAAAATCGAGCATAAAATCCTTTTCTAAAAAAGTTTTTGAGAGAAGTTTATTTAAAACGTTAAAACATTGATCCCTAGAAACCAGATTTGAACATCCCTTGGAATGTAATTAAGAAGATACAGGGTTAGTACAGTTACTTTATAGTGACGTCATTAGAATTTCAGGAATTGTTTCGAAAATATTTTCATTTGCATCTACATTTTTCATTTATCCAATTTTTAATCATTTGAGTATTACCCTACCCCATCAATCAATTTAAAAAGTTAAAGTTGAATGTAATAACAACCTCAGTTTTTGTAATACAAAACACTGTCAAAATGTGACAAATATACAGCCGAAAATATTTACCAACTTGAAGATTATTTCTCTAAAATGTTTTATTAAATGATTTACGGTTAAAAAATGTCACTGAGAGCCTTATCAGGACGATGCGGCGGATGTTGTTCAGGTCCTTTTGAATTTTTCAATTACTTAATTTAAACATAATACTAAACTCATTAATTCAAAGGTATTAAATTAATAATAGTAATTCATATAGTTATAGTGAAAATAACAGACTACTTTACTTTTATTAAAAGATTATACTGCGTATTTTATTTACGCAATTTCTCGGTGGTTGTGAATTAGAAACAGTTGAGAACATTTTAATGGTTTCATAACGGGAATAAAAGAATTTGATCTTGAAATTAAATTATAAAGTTTAGGCGAATTCCTAACAGTTCCAGTACCTTCGGATGAATATTTTAAGATTAAATTTCCCCGAGGAAATTTTTAAAGGAATAGATTTACTGCCTCAAACATTTTACTTTTTTTCGGCGTAACAGCATTAGATATTAGATAATTAGGGACGCCGTTTATCGGTTTTCAAAGCTACTTAACGAATTTATGTAAATATAAATGAATAACTTTCTTTGTACAAAAAAGAAGACGAATAAAAGTACATATGCATACGAAATGTTCAAAGTTTAACAAACTATCTGCTAATTATGTAAGCAATTTTATACCTATTGTCTAATATTTTAAATGAAAACTGGCTTCAAAAATTAAAACATAAGTCAAGTAAAAACACGCTGAGAAGTTGGTAAGTATTGAAAAATTATTTAGTACAAATCATTCCACAACATCAAAAATAATTATCTCCATAATAATAAACGAAAAACCAAACCATTTTTTATTTATTTCGTGTTTCTTTCCAAGGCGTGAGAATTCATTTCAAATTAGTCTGTGTGAGGTAGTAACTATGTGCTTGATTTATTCTGAAAAGGATTATATTGTACTTATGTACATAATTGTCCCAACCACTGTCTGTCTGTAACAGTGCAGTTTTCAAATCTCCTCATTACCAGCGTTAAATAAATGCTTAATGAATTCCCATCAATAAAAAGTAAATTATTCCAAGTGTATATAGTGTTGTCGTTAAAGAAAAATCGATGACAATGACGTCAGCAATGCGCGATTGGAGCGTCGCGACGCTTATGTACCAACCGAGCGACGTCGTCATCCGTGGCTTATATCCATCGTACAACACATCCTTTCTAACATGCCTCTGAGCTGGAGGCTGCTCCTTGTTACATTGTCCTTCGTCTACTTGTGCCAATCGACAGGGGATGTTTTTAGCAATTCGTTTCTTGTTAAATTCCGAAAAGATGTACAGCCCGATGAAGCCCACAGGATCGCCAAAAAAACCGGATTTGTCAACATGGGACCAGTAAGTAAAACAATTACATTTTACGTATTCACTATTATCCTAGTTAAATGTGCATCATACTCGTTAAAATTTTTTTGCTTAATTTTTAATGAACGTAAATAAATCGCGTAGGAATTGCAAANAAAAACCGGATTTGTCAACATGGGACCAGTAAGTAAAACAATTACATTTTACGTATTCACTATTATCCTAGTTAAATGTGCATCAAACTCGTTAAAATTTTTTTGCTTAATTTTTAATGAACGTAAATAAATCGCGTTGGAATTGCAAAAGAGATATCGTTTTAATTTAAAGCAGAAAGGTAAAGTAAAATTAATATTTCCGAAAAAATAGTTACGTACTAGGAATTTATAAAGGTTTGAACAGTGCTCATGAAACTTCCAAATAACATGCATGTTCTTAAAAACCAGGATTTTTTAATTATTTTATAAACAGTATTAAATATGAATTTATTTGATTACTAAACTGAACAACCTTATGATTAATCGTAACATTTTGGATTCTGAGTATTTGTATGTTCTTCGAATCAAAAATATGGTAAGTTTACTTAAGTGATGTAGTTATTTAATAAATATTAGAGACATATGATACGAATCATAACTAATTTTATAAATGCGAATGTGAGTTTTTTTGTTATCTTTTCACGCCTCTCAACTACTCAACCGATCATCATGAAAAATACTGTTCTCAAAGGATAGGAAAAAAAATTAGTTTCGTGTGGTCGACTTCTCGCCTTAATTACTCAATCGATCATCATGAAATTTTGTAGACACATTGTCAAGGGTACAGAAAAGGACACAGGGTACCTTTTATCTAATAAAAAAATAGTGATCTCGAGTGATAAAAAAATTAGTTTTATGTGGTCGATTTCACGCCTTAACTACTCAATCGATCATCATGAAACATTGTAGATACATTGTTAGGGGTATAAAAAAGGACATAGGGTTCTTATTATCCAGAGGAAAAAACGCTGTTCCTGACGGATAGAAAAATTAGTTTCATGTGGTCGTTGATCGCAGGTAAAATCTACTAAGCATATAAATTTCAATTTTACAAATCTAACTGTTAATATAGTAATACTCAATGTGAATTACTATATTAACGTACAAATCATTCCACAACATCAAAAATAATTATCTCCATAATAATAAACGAAAAACCAAACCATTTTTTATTTATTTCGTGTTTCTTTCCAAGGCGTGNATACCTACAGAAATAAATACATTAAAATTGAATACAACTAGAATAAAATACAAAGTGTTGACTATCTAAAAATACGAACAAAATTGAATATTTACAAAAATTATAAACACTAACAAAATTGAATATATATATGTACAAATATTAATTGAAGCCGCAACACAATTTAATTGTAACGACACTATAATGAACTTTTTAATTAACCCTGAGGTACTAAACAAAAAAGTGTTAAAATTTTAATTTAACAAAGAGTTCGAGTAATTCATTTTTTTTTCAACCAGGTACACAATACCCAATGGATATTAAAATTTAAGTGTCTGTAGACCGTTTAATTTTAATTTAAGAAAATGGATGCGATAAAATAAAAGGTGAAGGGTTATTTAAGTGCTTCGTTACAACACTGGGAAACTTTGTTTAACGGTAAAATCGTTTAAGCAATAAATGTACAACTAGGAAAGTTTGTGTATACTCATTTCTTTAGGGATTAAGCAATTAATTGGTGCATTACCGCTATAATATTTTAAGTTTCTGAACAATTTTGAGAGTAAACAATTACTAGGAAAAAGAAATAGCAATCACAATTGATTAAGATTAAAATAGAACTTGATCGGATTCAGACTTTTCTTCTTTTTGGATAACTAATAATAAATGAGTCAAATAGATATATTGGAAAATATTTGATTTTAAATTGCTACTGACAAGTACTTTTCGAGTTTTATTAGAAATACTTTTCAATTTGTATTTGTTTTTAAAACCAAATTTTTAATTTTGCAAAAATACCTTTTCAAATGTTTGTGATAGAGGAAGTTGCGTCATGCGGTGGAATTCGCGCTTTGAATCATTTTCAAATGTAACATGTTGCTCTTCTCGGTTTTAGTTGCCTTGCCATAGTGCCTGAAACTTCCGGAAAGGCTAGGCGACTTTGTACATTGTGAAACAACCACGGCTAGTAATGGTCTTTTTCAAAACATAATACAAAGATCACTCCTAGACGTGGTCATTTTATACTACTCTTCAGACGACCACGACTAACAGTGATCGATTTTGAACGATCACGGTTGGGAAAAATGGCGACAGAGAAAAGTGTAATTTCTATATTTGGTGAACGTTTCGCCTTACTTGCAGCGGCGTTTCTGACACCCGGGGCGAAGCCTAAATTTGACGCCCTTCCTATTCAGGTATTGCGTAAACACCGAAGGAGGATGGTTTATTTTTCATGATATGGGGCCGGGGGGTGATTACGTTAGTAATATTTACTTATTTATTTTCTAATTTTTCTGTAAAATTTAGTAGATTCTGATTTGAAGAAATATGACAACCCTACTTGTCTATGTCCGAAAGCAATAAGAATGTTCGGGGATTCCCCAAAGTAATTGTTAATGCTCCCTCGCTCTCACGCGGAGTTTTATGGTTAAGTTAAAAAGATTTTGAGAAAATATGCAGGTATCAATGTTTACGTAAGCATAAAGGGAAAAACCTTTGCTTACTTTTGTTGACAAGAGGGTTAAAAATTACTAAAATTCAGTTTAGGTGATAGCTGAATGGCCTCTAAATGTCAAGTCGTTTGTGTGTTAAAGAAATTTTGTGCTTTTTCCATATGATACAGGATTTGTAAATTACAACAAAATAATTAATTTCAATTGAAAATGTATTAACTTAAGAGTAACAAAAGTAAAATTAAGCATGTGCATTTACAAAGTTCTCACATAATTTACTTCATTTACAAACATAATTCAGAATTTCCGATCGTTAGNTACTTTTATATATATAATACTAGCTTTTCTAATTATTTCATTAGTAAAGAGGTCGTTCATAAAAGGCGTTCGCAAATAAGGGGGAGGCAGGGATACTGCTTACAGTGACGAGATATGATAAGGGGGAGGGGAATTTTAAGGAAATGTGACGTTCGCAGTTAATCAATTTTGGTTTATTTTTTTCTTAACGTGGCAGTACGAAAGAAAATCATTCTCATTGCTTTTTTTAATCGCAAGAAATAGTTTATAGTAGGGGGGGGGGCTAGCTTTTGTGACGTAATATTTGTTAGGGGGGGACGCTGACTTCGATTTGTAAATGAGTATTGATTTACCCGTCAGGATAACAAGGAAGATAGGCTTTGACGGCTAGAATTATTGTATAGTAGAATTATGATTCTATCTGAAGAATCCTGGTATAATTAAACTTTTGTTGCATCTGGACCTAACAATTCATTTATTAGACAACGATTTTTTAGCATGAATTATAAATTTATCCATCAGTGTTGTGACGATTGATGTCTGCGATTGAAGTGGTTATAACTGATTTAGATTAACATTGGTTCAACTCTGTTAACAAAAAGGTACACGACTCACTTCGTTCGTGTTGTCTTTACCTGTCCCAACCATTACAATCCTAACCTAATTGAACTTAAAGCTTTCATTCGTTTGATTGTAATCGAACTACTACTCTCGTCCTTTCTTAAAATTGCTATGGCTTAAACTAACTGAAAAATATGAAAACTGGATCTCAAGAATGCACCTCTTTGAATGGTAGCACTACGCGGTTTTGTCATATTTTGGGGCCAATTGAATATAACAAACAATAAAATCTCTTTAACGTTTTAGTTCCTTTCAACCTTCACACAGACAATAGCCTACTATCCATNCACAGTTAATCAATTTTGGTTTATTTTTTTCTTAACTTGGCAGTACGAAAGAAAATCATTCTCATTGCTTTTTTTAACCGCAAGAAATAGTTTATAGTAGGGGGGGGGCTAGCTTTTGTGACGTAATATTTGTTAGGGGGACGCTGACTTCGGTTTGTAAATGAGTATTGATTTACCCGTCAGGATAACAAGGAAGATATGCTTTGACGGCTAGAATGAATTGTGTAGTAGAATTATAATTCGAGCTGAAGAATCCTGGTATAATTAAACTGTTGTTGCTCACGTTGTCAATGCAGTGCCACTGAAGATATCAGCCGTAATTACCGAGGAAACATCTGGACCTAACAATTCATTTATTAGACAACAATTTTTTAGCATGAATCATAAATTTACCCGTCAGTGTTGTGACGATTGATGTCTGCGATTGAAGTGGTTATAACTGATTTAGATTAACATTGGTCCAACTGTGTTAACAAAAAAGTACACGACTCACTTCGTTCGTGTTGTCTTTACCTATCCCAACCATTACAATCCTAACCTAATTAAACTTAAAGCTTTCATTCGAACAAAATATGTTGTACTACTCTCGTCCTTTTTTAAAATTGCTATGGCTTAAACTAACTCAAAAATATGAAAACTGGATCTCAAGAATGCACCTCTTTGAATGGTAGCACTACGCGGTTTTGTCATATTTTGGGGCCAATTGAATATAACAAACAATAAAATCTCTTTAACGTTTTAGTTCCTTTCAACCTTCACACAGACAATAGCCTACTATCCATTTTTGTAATACACTTAGATGAATCATCTTGAAGGACTTTGAATTAGTGGTATGTTTCTTCTTTTAACAATGTCCTTTTATCAGCTAAATCAGCAATCGTTGGCATGTTGGCAAAATATAGAATCAGCAATAATTAAACAACTATTTTTTCTACTGAAATTGATCAGCTGGGTCAAAACGACTGTTCTGATGGGTTACATTCATTCGTTATGAATTAAGTTACCATTTGAGTACCGATACACTTTTTTAAAATTTTTAAAGTGTATTTTCCAGAACTTTCAGAAAATGTTATACAAACCCAGATCAAGTTAGAAAATAATTAAAGATATTTGTGAGCCCATATTCTAAAAAAGATTGTGGAATGAGGGAAAACAGTCG